ACAGTTCTTAAGATTTCAACAGTGTTTTGTTAAGCATATAGAGAAACGGAGTGACAAGTAGCTCTTTTATTAACCTTTCAGTAATATGTATTCAGGATATGAGTCCTTAGGTTTTACATTTTATAATAGCTCACTCACTCTTTTATTTATTTATATATTGAGTCAGGGAACAGAGTCTGTGATTTAGAATGTCTTAAACCCCTGAGCTCAAGTGATCCTCCTGCCCCAGCCTCTGGAGTAGCTGAAACTACTACCATTTGCCACTGTGCCAGGGTGTTTCCATTGTTAATGTTGACATTTGATAAAAGGAAGTTGTTAATTGTTTTTTTTTTTAAGAGAGAGTGAGAGAGGAGAGAGAGAGAGAGAATTCTTAATATTTATTTTTTAGTTCTCGGTGGACACAACATCTTTGTTGGTATGTGGTGCTGAGGATTGAACCCGGGCCGCACGCATGCCAGGCGAGCGCGCTACCGCTTGAGCCACATCCCCAGCCCTGTTAATTGTAATGTAATTGTGTTTATCAGTTTTTTTCCTTTATAGTTAATACTTTTTAAAAAAATCTTTATTTAATTAATTTATTTTTATGTGGTGCTGAGGATCGAACCCAGTACCTCACATGTGCTAGGCAAGCACTATACCACTGAGCTACAACCCCAGCCCTACTTTTTTTTTTTTTAATAAGGATTTGAACCCAGAGGCTATTTACCACTGAGTTACCTCCCTAGTCATTTTTATTTTCATCCAGGGTCTGTTAAGTTGCTGAGGGTCTCATTAAGTTGCTGAGATTGGCCTCAAACTTGAGATCCTTATGCCTCAGCCTCCTAAATTTCTGGGATTACAAGTGGGTGCTACCATATTTGGTTTAGTTAGTGCATTTTATGTCCTGTTAAAAAAAATCCTTAAGTTATTGTTAGGATCTTCTCCTGCACTTCCTTCTTGCAGCTGTATAGTCTTTCCCTTTATATCTGGATGTCAAATCTATCTGGAATTGATTATGCAGTTGTTAGGAAGATAGTGATCTCATTTAATTTTTTCTGTAGACATATCCAAATGGTTATTTACTGAAAAGTCCATCCTTTTCTTGTATTAATTTTATAGAGCCATCTTTGTCAAAATCAAAGTTTACAAATATCTTTAGGCCTGTCCTTGGATTTCTTCCATTAGTGGACCCATCCCTGTGCCAGCACCCTACAGTCTTAGTTTCTGTTGCTTTTTAAATCTTGTCTTGTTTTCCTTCTTTGGTCTTCTTCAAGACTGTCTTGGGAATTCCTGTCCTTATTTTTTAGAATCTAGTTTGTCAGTTTACATATACACAATCTGCTAGGATTATATTTGGAGTTATATGAACTCAAATTTTGTAATTTGGGGAGAAATAGTACTTTTACAGTATTCAATCTTCCTATCTTTGAGGATAGTTTTCATTCCATTTTTAAAAAAATTTCTTTAAACAAGGTTTTATAGCTTTTTATGTATGTAGAGTCTTTACCTCTTTCATTGATTTACTCCTTGACATTTGATATTACTTAATGCTATTGTAAATGGTATTTTAAGGAGCACATTGCATAGCTGTCCCGGCCCTGCTGCCTTTGCCTTCTCCCTGTGTTCCTGGAAATGTCAGTCGCAAATGACAGGGTCACTGAGAAGAACTTCCTTGAGGAGCAATTTGATGAGGAAAATGTGATTTTAACACTGGTCCCAGTTACAGAGGAACAAGAATATCCAATAGAAACAAGTGTTTCTTCAACTACAGAAATCAAACAGGAAGTCTGCTTTCCTGAAACAAAACCTAATTGCAAAATACAACCCCTTCCCTTGCCGACCATTTTGCCTCCAATTAATAAGGTTTCACGGAATACTTTGAGAAACTGGTGCCAACAATTTAATTTGAGTACTGATGGCCAGAAAATAGAGGTTTATTTGAGG